AACCACTCCATATTAAAAAGAATGATAGAAGACCCCAAAATAATGGCCAAGAACCTATCATATAGCTAGCCAAAAAGCCCTGTAACAAAAGAATAAAACAATAAGCCTCATATGCTATATATACAAGGACCCTATACTGTTGTAAAAAATGGATTAATACCATGATTGCAGATGACACAGTAATAACAACACCAGTTGTAAAGGAAAATGCCCCCGATGGCAATGGAAGAAATGGTTTGTTTATCTTCAAAAGAGAAAAGAACAGAGATTAATAAAACACAAGCAATACAGTACTTCCTTCAAAAATTTTATTAAATATAAAAGGTGGCATTTTTTTTTACTATATTTAAAGTGATAAATTATTTCAATTTATTTATTTCTAATATTAAAAGTTTCATACCTTGTCAATTTCGTAGTCATACAGTTGATTCACGCCATTAACGTAAAAGTCCATCAACGAGAAAGGTAGCAGAGCCTGAAACATTTTAAAAAGTCAGAAAGTATTAACAAAGTAAAGGATTGCTTTTAATTGAACATTTAAGAATAAAAACGAACATATTTGGAGTCTCACCTGTAATACACCAATGAAAAATAAAGGAGATGATATATCTGATAGTTTATCTACTGCTAGAAGTGATGCAGAAATCGTGCTTAATGTCTGTCAAAGGAAAATAAATTTTAAACAATTAGGATATTAGAAATTAGTTTAACTATAATTTAGTTTTACAAATCGATTCAATTCTAATACACTTCTTTAATTATGTTAAGAAAATCGAACATCGAAACGAAGTAAATCTGATAACGGGTGAAAATATAGATTTGAATTTCAATTTTTATAAATTTTAAATTATTCTAATGTTTGATATAAACTTTAAATGTTTCTAATACCATATTAAAAAATAAATTTGAATCTAAGTTATCTTTATAAGACTGAGATAGTAAATTAAGATTTACGTTCAATTATATAACTAGAATTATATATTTTAACTGTTATCCAAAGTAGTGTTTCATAAAAATAAATTGAATTAAGTATTAACCATAACATTTAAGGATTAATTATATGTATTAAAGGAATACTAAAAAGATTGAACTTACTCGACCAAACATTGTGTAAGGATAGACAAACCAATATAAGGCAACAAAGAAACGTTTGACAGAGCCAACAATGTCTTTTGTTTCAGAAGCAATGGATTCCTCAGACCCAAAAGATTCTTTGGAGATTGCTTTGGGAATATATTTCTTGTTGTTTTCTTCATTCGTAGACACTCCTTCAACACTTTTGAACTGATTCTTCAGAATCGGTTGTTGCAATTTCGAAAGGTTATATTCTATTTCATTTTTCCTTTGGTGCATTGAAGTTTTTGGTGCAAAAGAACCTACAACACATAAATGTTAATTTCATGCAGTATAATTCACAACAAAATTCAAAATGGTTGATTTGACAAAAACCATATTATTTCTGAAATAATTGAAACTGTTTTCAACAATTTATTTTTTTCCTCAATTATGGTAGTATATTAGTAATTAAAGTCACATATAATTAGTTTTTATATTTCTTAGAAAAACAAATTCATTTTGATCTTGGTATCCCTATGATATTAAAATTAATTCATTGAACATAATACTCTGTCAATAAAAATAAACGCAAATTTCTATATGTTAAGTATTTTTGTGTAACCTTTCACTTTCGATTAATCTTTCTATTAATTATTTGTTGCAGATTTTATGGTTGCCATTTTTTTTCACTTTTTATTGCTTTTTTAATTTTTCTTATTTAGAAAATTATATGAAAAAAGCTCTTGTGGACATCTTAGTAAGTTCTCATTATTCAGTATTCAACCTTACATTTATTTCTCATTATGAGAAAAGTATTTAATAATATTTATATCTCGTGATGACTGCTGCATTTCAGTAGTGACACTTGGGCATTGATAATCCGAATACATACGTCGAATTTTAGGAAAGATATAAAATAATATAGTGAACAAATTCATGAGGAAACTAAATTAAAATTAAAATTTATGGTACAAATCAAATGAAATAATTAATTTTTTTTACTTCTATTAATTAAAGAGATATATTATAAATATACGATATTAAATAAAACCACACTATTTCAAAGCGTTTAAGACAATAATACATCATTAAAAGACTGTATTAAATACTTTAAAAATGAAAAAATAAATCAAACAATATAACTTTGAAAAGCTTTATTCATCCTTTATTTTATTATGATTCCAAAATTGTACATCGCTACATATTTATATCAAATTTTACAAAATAAATAAATAAAAGATAAAAGTACTTGAGTATTTTTCTAAACAAGGAAAATTCTGAAAGTAAAAATTCCTTCAAACAAAGAAAAGTATGAAACTAAAAATTATATTCGTTGATTCTCTAAAGGTATCATATCAAAGTGATACAAAGAAGAATAATGAAAAATAGATTTGAAAATTATAACTTCGCAAGTTTATCGATTAGTGGATTATTTTGTGAGATTGTATTAAGAAGGTTAACATATTAAGTTATAACAAATAAAAAGGTTAAATAACTAAAGAAACAGAGGATATGTGAAACATACTTCCATGGGAAAAATTCTTGTTGGAATGTTTGCTTCGCCAGAGATTTCCACCTACAATATTACCGATGTTAATCGTATTAGTAACAAAAACCTTGTAATTAATGATAAAAAAAAAATAAGTTTTATATAAAAAAAAATAGTTGAAATATAATAAGAAAGTAATTGCTGATATAGGTACCGTTTGTGAGTGAAGAGATATTGGGAGAGAACCTAAGAGACATTGAAGCCATTGGAACTCAAAAGCACTTTCTGATGAAGAAATAAACCAACACACCCTGATAACGAAGATGACGAGGAGAAAGGGGTTTATATACTATACTCAATTCTATTTAATTTATTTATATATTACATTCTTTTGACCATCTTTCAAAGACAAACAAATACATTAGTAATATAATAATAAAAAGAATAAATAGCCATCTTAGACCAATTGGATGGGTTTTGTTTATTATATTTGAAGTGGTCAAAATTGAATTTTTGATTAGCCTCCTAAAAATATTTGTTAATATATATTATAAAAACATCACCGTGCTAATTTTTGAATTACTATTTAAAAATTTAATTTAACTTGACCAGCAATTAACTGAATGATCCTGATTTGTTCACAGTCCATGAAGTTATACCATCCATTTTATTACTTCTATACTTGATAATTTACTTTATATTTGAATTAAATAACTTGATTTAATGTGGTGTTATTTACTATTGTTTTAACGGTCTGAAAATAATACAATGTGAAACACAAATTTTTCTTACATTGAAAAATGAGACTACCGGAAACTACGTAGTGTTGACATTTGGATTCAAGATTGTTACACTTGTTGAAAAAGTCTAAAACTGTTTTAATTTAATATAAAATTTGGATGCACATGAATCTGGTTCGGTGTTTCAATTTAATATATAATTTGGATATAGTTTTATTGCTATTAATATTAGTAATATTTTTCATTCAAAATTTTATTTCTATTTTTTATTAATTAATTTAATAAAAATTCATTAAATATAGTTACATATATCTCTGAATTTAATTAGGTATAATATTGTTTTAAATTATTATCTATTTATATTTTAGAATTAAATTTTAAATAGCTAGATTTTTATATTTGCTCAGAAGTCTCACCACTTTATCTTTATTTTTGAGTTCATCCTCATCACATATTTCGGTTCGGCGATTTCGTCATGTTCGGCTGGATTATTATATTCCTCCAAAGTTGGACGACTTTATTTTTTACTTGTATTTCAAAAAGCGCCAGACGAAATATTTTAAGTCATGTATTATCTTTTCTCTTTTTTAAAATTACTTTTGTTAATAATACAAAAACATAACATAAAATTTTTTATGTGAAGTGAACTCTAGACAACGTTTAAAATAGTTAATATTAAATTCTAAAGTAATTACAAGGAAGAAAAATGTTAAGTTTCGTAGGAGGTACTCGGAAACAAAGTCCATTGACCAAACATTTTCCAATTGACCATTTGGTTAATCTTATAAGTAGAATAGTCAATTCCATCATGGTTTATTGCCAGCTTTAATTCAAAAATTCTTTTTATTAGGTTTATTAAACGAACAGACTGAAAATTCTAATTCTCAAATATTTTCTTTAAACTTGATTAGGTTTAGAAGATTTGTTCCTTATTACAAAAATATTATGAACTTCTAAATATTTTTTTATAACAGAAGGAGGAATCTTTAAATATAATTTGGGTTCAATTAGATTAGAACCTAAATTAGCATAACATGATTTGAACTTGGTTTAAGATCGACATCATGTAGGTCATATTTAACTTAGTCTAACGTCATCTTAATTTAACTTGATTTGATGTGCATATGACTTAAATAAACTAAAGGTTAGTTTTACTCAATTCAATCAAAGGTGGGTCTAACTCAACTTAGATTAGGATGGGTCAATCGAATCGATCTTATCTAGGTCCAACTAAACTCAATTTGACTTCGGCCTTAATAAATCAATCTCATGTGGTTTGATTCTATTAAGTCTAATATAGACACAACTCTACTTAACCCAACATGGGCCTAACTCAACTTAGTCCGAGGTGAATCTAGCGTGACTTGACCAAAGGTGGGTCTTAATTGAATTAACATGAGGTGGACTTGACTCGACTCGATATGGCTCAACCAAAGATGGGTCTAACTCGACTTAACATGAGGTGGACTTGACTCAAGTTGACTCAACCCTACTCAACTAAAGGTGGGCTCAACACTACTCAACCTAAGGTGGCTCCAAACTAATTCAATTCGAGGTGGGCTCAAACTGGCTTGGCTCGTGGTGGCTCCAACCCTAGTTAGTCCAATAGACTATACAAATAACTAAAGGAGTAAACAGTACAATTTTGTTCGATGAAGATAACTAAACTGCGAAGATAACTAAACTAATGGATGAGGCATAACATATTTTGGTAAGAATATCTTTCAAAGAATTATCCAGAAGGATATTAGGAATATAATTTGTTATTATAGGAAATATTTTAGCCGTTAAATTAAGATTACGTAGGAAATAAGGTGAATATTGATGTATAATCAAGATATTTTTAAATTTCTTAAGAGATAAAAGATTTAATGATATATGGATAGTTTTTATAAGATTATAGAGTGTGTGGAATTATCTTTAAAGTAATTTTTCTTATTTTATCTACAAGGATATTACGAGGATTATCTTTAAAGTTTAAGATTTTATTTTATAGATGTAATAAGATTTTTCCTAAGAAAATGAAATGAAAATATAAATGTATTAATAAATATATTTGATATTTTATGGTTAATAAAAGCATCACATAAAATCTCTTAGAGCATCTTTGATTTTAAGGGTAAAAGTAAAACCTATAAATATTCATACTAAATGAGTGATTGAGTGTAATGTTGGGTGAGAAAGAATGTGGATGAGTATAATTGAAGGAAAAGTAAAGATTTAAACATAAGTGAGAAACTTCAAAGTTTTATGTACTTAATTCAAGTTAAGGGAGGTAATATTTCATGTGATTTTGAGACGAGTATTAATATCATTATCATGTTTTGTATTACTGAACTAATGATATGTTATAAGTATGTCTCCGTGAATTCTCCAAAACAAGTGTGAGCATGTCCATTAGTGCTCCTAGGCATCTGACTATGATAAGTCGAGTGTAAGCAAGAGTGCTCCTAGGCATCTAAGTATGTTTATTTTTCTGAAATTTGAGACCTTAGCACGTCTTCATGAATTGTCCCAACCGTTAGGGTATGTCCACGTGAATGCTTAGAGTCGAATGAGCATGTCTCCATGAATGCTTCAAGATAAGTGTGAGACGTTTGAGATGATGTTGTAAGGCAAGTAGAACTAGAGCTAGAATTCCATAATATAATGAATGATGTGTTGTGATGTATGTTATATTTATAATTCTTTGATTGCACTCTTTATTATATTAGCTTACCCTTGTGTTTGTAGTTGTGGTTTTTATCTACGACGATCATAAGTGTAACATGGAAGCAAATGATGAAGCAAGTATGGATGCATAGAAATTATAGACGAGAGGAAAATGAGATGAGTTTGGGCTAACAACTTGCCATTTATAATTTTGTTTTTTCATGTCACTCAAATTTATTATGTAAAAACAATTGATTTTGTTTTTCTTAGGTTCAATAAAGGTCATCAGATTATTCAGTTTAAGTAATTTTTTATTAAAATTTGGAAGTGATTATTGTATAGTAGACGGTAGACGATAACACTTGAACTCATTGCACTCATTAAATGAGTTAAAGATTTGGTCTATTAGATTATATCAATTTTAGCCTCTTAGAGGACTCGATATTTAACTATTAGACGACCTGATTTAAACTATTAGACGACTAAAATTTAAAAGAAAAAGTTTTTCAAAAATCATGTTTTTGAGAGGTTTTACTAGAAATTATTTATTGTTTATAACTAAATGACTTTAAAAGTGTAAAAAAAAATTGGGATGTTACAAGGTGGGCCTAAGTTGAGTCGGCTAAAGGTGGGCCTGACTCTACACAACCCATTGTGGGCTTGTCATGACTTGAGGTCTAACACGAACTTGATTTCCCTCAACTCAAGGTAGGTGTTAACTTAAATCATCTTGAGGTTTGTGTTGGGAGCCCACACTACAACCAAATATACCAATTAGTATACTGGGTAGTTTGTAGTATAACAAGTGTCATATCCACAGGGATTTGATAGAAAACACAATGTTCTAACTAGTTTGATTGATGATAAAACAGTAAATGGGTTGTAAGATGTACAAAACAAGTTTTGTTCATGAAAACCGAGTAAAAGACATGATAAAATTGTTTGAATTAAAAAATATTAACTTTCAAATGATTAAAACGTGTTGAAGTTCGACTTCGCCACTTTGTCCCTCTCTAGTAATGGCTTTATTGTTAAATATGACGCTACAAATAATCAAGTCTTGAGAGTTCTCTTTGAATGGAACTTTAGGTCCATTCTTGACACTTAGAGCCTAGGATAACCAAACATCAATATGATCCCTCAATGACTACTTGAATGGATCACCTATATTAAAATTAGGATTTTATAGCCAATTGCAACCTTAGATTTATTCCTAACATTTAAAAACATACAGAAAAATTGACTTAACCACAACTTGAAACTAGTTTTCACTCAATCTCAAGCTAGTGAAATAACATGACTGATCAGTTCATCCAACAACAAGTATAAACCAATTCACAAACTTGTATTTAAAAGCAAGCATTCATAAATAAAATAGTACCTAATACAAGAGAGTTTAAAGTGGTTTACATCTCACTTTAATACCTAGGAGATTTAGCTCCTCATAATGGATTAGGAAGAAGTTAATACAAGAAAGGAACTTCATCTTGTAGTCCCTTAATGATTTTTTTTAAAAAGAACTACATTTGATAATGGTGTCGTTGACATGATCAAATTAATACTACTAAACTATAGCAACTTCAGTATTACTAAGATAGTAGCCAACAAATTCTACTCAACCCATATCTTTAAAAGAATTTCTAACTCAAAATCATTTAATTGACCTGTTAGATGATAAGATGTGTGTTTCTGTTATTTGGGCTTAGTCTATTATGTATTAAGGGCATTGGCCCATATCTTACAATATAAATAAACTACCCTATGTGTATGCTAAACACACAAGGGATATTCTCTCCCAATCTTCTCTATTTCTCATATGGTATCTAGAGCACAGGAATAGTTCCAGTCAACTCCACGGTCTCCGGCACCCCTCACTGCCGCAGTCGCTGTCGCTGCCGCCGCCGCCGTCGCCGCCG